ATCATTTATATAAATGGCAAAAAAAAGTGGACCCAGCAGTGATCCCTGTGGAATACCACTGGTCACAACCCTTCAGTCCAAAAAACAACCCTCCACCATCATTCTCTGTCTCCTGCCATTAAGTCAATTTTGTTACACAGAGAGTGGTTTGTGAGTGAAATGAACTTCCAGAGGAAGTGGTGAATGTAGGTACAGTTACAATTTTTAAAAGACATTTGGATAAGTACATGAATAAGAAATGCTTGGAGAAATATGGGCCAAGTGCAGGCTAGTGGGATTATTTTAGTTTGGGATGATGGTCAGCGTGGACCGGTTGGACCAAAGGGTCTATTTCCATGCTGTTTGACTCTATAACTCTATAACATCTCATTGCCAGTTAATCTCACATCATTTATATACAGTGCCTCAGTGACCCACCTGCTAATAGTGTTACAAAATTATGTAGAGTATTCATGAATTGGAAGGCAGGAAGTTAGAATCTGTTAGTAAAAATGATAGTGGGGAAAAGCAGTGTGTGTCCCTTTAAGAGATTGTGCTTTGTCTGTGTTTGGAAGTTTACAAGTAGTGTACAAAGAACCCCAAAATTGAAACAGGTGTATCAAAAGGTCTTACAGTTGGCAGGCAAAACAATAGTTTTGTTTTGGTAATGAGGCAACAAGTTTGAATTTAGCCAATTAATTTAAACAAGCACCCAGACACAGAAAACCAATTGAATTTAAAACTGATAGTTTTGACAACCTGAAACCAATCATATTATAAGAAATTGATGTGTCATCAGGGGGGTATATAAAATGAGGGCATTTGAAATCAGGGTGATAGCCAACTGTTATCTGATGGGAAAGCAAGTTTGCCATCTGAGAAATAAACCCCCAAGCTCTCACAAGAAATTGCTAAGCTCTCTAAGAAAGCACCATCTATCTGAAAGAGGCACCATGGTATTTTAGCTCAAAGTTGTCCCTGAAGAAATTACAGAGAAAAACATCCCTGACAGCAGAATCAGAAGAAGAAAGGTATTTGTGGCGAAGGCAAAATGTTCCAGAAGACACAGTCTGTACAAATTTGGAGAGATTAAATTTTAATTTACTGTTTTCTTTTAATTAGGTTTATATAAATGGGACTTGTGTTTATTTGAACAGAATTCCAGTAGAATTTAGGCCGTTTGGGAAATAGTTAGTAGCCTAGGGGGGAATTGTTCAGTTTGTTAGTAATTCCTATTAATTTGTTCTATGCCAGGGTCAAATAAATAAATTGCTACTTGTTACTTATAAAGTGGAGATCAGGGATTTTCTTTGATCTAACCATGCTTTTAACAGATTGAGGGATGAGGTGACTTTCTCTGGGTGTTTTGGATTTTATTACAGGAAGGGAATATTTACTCCTGTCATAAAAGATTGGGTCTCATATTTTGGTTTAATTATCAGAGGGATTCGACTTCCCCTTCTCCATAACAATGGAAACTAGATAATGACAATTCAGAGTGGTTACTTGGTGACTCCAGCCATTGCTTGTTCCTAAGGCCCTCTATCTTGGAAAGCAGTTATCAACATCTCAGGGCACGCTCCATGGGCAGTGATTACATGTAACTCTAATCCTGTCCATAGACATTGGCATTGGACATGTACCAGCTACACCACTCTCTTATGGTACATCTTCCATCCACTTACAATATGGTTCTGCATTCCAAAGCTGCACTTTGGAACATGTTATCATCTTTCACTGTAATGCTGTTGCCAGGAAACCACATGTATGATCAGGTGCCCATAATATGGATTGGGCTAGGGTGCATCTCCGGGTTCCTCGTTTGCTATCTTTGATCTCAATCACTTTGTACCTACTTCAAAGTTCATAGTCTAGTCCTGTCCTGCCTTGCCATGTCTTGTTTTGCAATGCCTTGTCTTTCCTTTTGGCACTTTGCTCCTTGGCCAGAGCTCACAGTACTTCTATCTTGCTGCTTACAGATGCAGAGTCAGAAAGCTTGTCATGGTTAAAATTGAATCAGAGATAATAGGAAGTGCAGATGCCGGAGAATCCGAGACAACAAGTTGCAGGGCTGGATGAACACAGCAGGCCAAGCAGCATCATAGGAGCAGAAAGGCTGACGTTTCGAGCCTAGACCCTTCATCCAAATGTGGCCTTACCAATGTCTTGTACAGCCCTAACATAACATCCCAACTTCTGTATTCAATGCTCTGACTGATGAAAGCAAGCGTGCCAAATGCCTTCTTCAGTACCCTGTCCACTTTAACACCACTTTCAAGGAACTATGTACCTGCAACTGTAGCTCTCTCTATTTGACAACATTCCCCAAGGCCCTACCGTTAACTGTGTAAGTCCTATCCTAGTTTGTATTACCAAAATGCAACACCTCACATTTATCTGAATTAAACTTAATCTGCTATTCCTCAGCCCACTGGCCCAGTTGATCAAGACCCCATTGCACTCTTAGATAACCTTCTTCACTGTCCACTATACCAAAAATTTTTCATTCACAAATTTACTAATCATGCTTCCTATATTTTCATCCAAATTGTTTATATAAATGCCAAAACACAGTAGACCCAGCAACAATCCTTGCAGTAAACCGCTGGTTACAGGCCTCCAGTCTGAAAAGCAACACTCTACCACTATCCCCTGTCTCCTATCATCAAGCCAATTTTGAATCCAGTTGGCTAACTCTCCCTGAAACCCAAGTGGTCTAACTTTACTAACCAGTCTACCATGCAGTACCTTGTTGAAGGTCTTGCCTTCATGAAGGTAGGTGAAAGTTGAATGAAGTAGTCAGCACTACCAAGAGAGTCACTGAAAGGAGCATGTGGAGGCTGTTAACAACATCTAGAACAGCCATCTTTCCTTGTCATTGTCAAATTTCATTGTGTCTTCAACGTGACTAAACACAACAACTTCCTTCAACATAGATAACAAGGTGTAGAGCTGGATGAACACAGCAGGCCAAGCAGCATCAGAGGAGCA